CGTATGAAATCCGATCGTCTGAGGAACCATAGTACGAAAGATCTTCGCCCATATTTGTCGAACTCTGTGTCCAAGGGAGTCTAGCGTTGCGGCGAGCTCCTGTAGAGGTCATCTCGCCTATCAGAGCCGTCAAAGGCTGCGTCAGATGAGTCAGCGTGCCAGCGGCTCCCCCCGTAACGGGTGACCATAAACTCTTGCAAAATTGCATGAGGCCAAGTTTTACGCGCAAGCCACGCAAGGTTTGTGGACGGTCCGATAAGGCCAACCGGAGATCCTTCAAGGTGTGGTCAGCCACACGATAACCATCGGGCCCAAGGGACATACCGAGAAATTCTACTTCCCTATCAGGACCTCTAACCTTGTGGGGTGGCACCTCCGCCCCAGCAGTTCGGACGGCAAAGATCACAGCTTGTAACATCGCTTCACATTGAGCCCGAACGGGGTGCCAGAGCAGACAGTCATCCATATAGGTAACCATATAAGGCAATAACTCAGGGACAGCAGTATCCAATAGCTGGCGAAGCGCGTAGCACCAATAGCTAGCGCTATGCGTCCATCCCATTATCATACGACGATGTAACGCATAGTGGACCTCGTTGTTCTGGTCGAAGTTACTGAAGGCAAAATAACGCTGAACTGGGGGATGGTATTCAAGGCAAAAGTAAGCGTTCTTTATATCTAATGTGGCGAGCCAGGAATTTGCTCCGATGGACTCGACGCACTGCAGTAACGGTAGTTGATAGCCTTCCCAAGTCGAGGGTAGGGGCTTGCAGCACTCATTGATAGGCCTTTCATCTACCACCAAACGAAAGTGTTTCTGCACGTTCTCATCCGTCAAGTCACCAATCGAGGGTTGCTGCTCTGCACAGTGTTTCTCTACAATGAACGCTGGCACCACCCAGATATGTCCCATCCGGACCTCGTCGAGTGTGACAGTTTTGACAAACCCATCTCGCTCCAATTGAGCGACCAGCATTTGCATGGCCTTGCGCTCAATATCCTTGCATGGGTAGGGATCTCTCCTGGCTGGTGGGACCGCCGTAGTCTTCATTTCAACATAGACCTGGGGCCATTTCCAGGTTTTAAGCCTGTCACGGATGGTTTCATTGTCTGGAATTGGTAAGCCCGCAGTGTTATCGAGATCAGCTCTCGTCGACTCCTCGTCCGAGCAGGGAGCAGCGCTAACAGGCATATCAT